GTCGGTGGCAATGCTCCACTTGTTGGAGTCATATCTGACATGTATTAAGATGGTTGTGGTTGTTGGAAGTCAGTCATCTCAATGCCAGGACATCTCTGCATGGGTTCCTCAGGGTAGTGTCTTAGGCCCAACCATCTTCAGCTATTTCATTAATAACCTTCCCTCCAGCATAAGGTCAGAAGAGGGGATGTTTGCCGAAAATTGAACCATGTTCATGATTCCTCAGAGACTGAACCAGGCTATGTTGAAATACAACAAGAACTGGACAATATCCAGGCTTCTGGCTGAAGATTGCTGCGAGTGTTTCAGCTTTATCATACTGATTTTCTAGGGTCTTTCATCATTGAGGATGGAGATATTTGTGGAGCTTCCTCCTCCTGTGAGTTTTTTAATTGTCCACCATTCATGACTGGATCTGGCAGAACTGCAGAGCTTAGATCTGATGTGTTGGTTGTGGGATTGCTTAGCTCTGTCTATCACTTGCTGCTTATGCTGTTTGGCATGTAAGTAGTCCTGTTTGCTAGCTTCATCATGTTGACACCACATTTTTAGATATGCCTGGTGTGCTCCTGGTGTGGCAAGTTACATTCATGCTGCACAAATACTAGGTAATGACCATCTCCCATAAGAGACAATCTACCCATCCCTTGACATTCAATGGTGTTACCATCACTGAATCCTCCACTATCAACATCAACATTATCAACAGAGGTGTAGATGGAGATGGAGTAGAATGGGAGGTTGGCTTCTGTGATGGTCTGGGATGTGCACACAACTTTCTGTAGTGTAGATGCACTGCAGAAATTCACCAAAGATCCTTAGCCAGCACCTTCCAAACCCATGACCACTTCCACCTAGAAGAACAAAGGCATCAGAAATATGGAAAATCAACACCTACAAGTTCTCCTCCACCATTCTGACTCAGAAATATATCACCATTCCTTCATGGTCACTGGGCCAAAATCCTGGAACTCCCTCCCCAATGGCATTGCTGGTCAACCTACAGTGTATGGACTGCAGCAGTTCAAGAACGCACCACCTTCTCAAGTGCAGGTAAGGACAGGAATAAATACTGGGCAGCCAGTGATGCCCACATCCTATGGGTGAATTAACAAAAAAAATGCTTAGGAATGTTATTCTCTGCCTATAAACCCTATGTCCTGGATATGACCTCCTGCAGGCTAGATCTCTGCATGTACCACTCTGTGCCATGGAGTGGCAGGTGGTTAAGAAGAAGGCAGCTGCTGTTGCTGCTCTTATTGCTGCTGTTATTACTTATGGTGATGCCAGTGTTGCTAAATTCATTCCAAGGTCCAAGGCAGAGCTGCTTCTGTGCTGCTGAGAAGACTGACAGTTAGGAAGACCAAACTCAAAAAGTGCCAAGGTCATGGAAATGATCATAAAAGTAGTGGAAACCACTTGCACTGCTGTGGAAGAACACTATCCTGGCAGCACAAATGGTATAAGAAAACAGCCAAACTATTTCAGTACTTAAAGGCTTTCCAGCTTGCCAAAATTCACAATTCTCTCAAATTGTTCAACCTGTTGGAAGCCTGAGAAACTGACATGCAAATGAACAGGCTGTAGTTAAAGGCATAAGTCAGTGGTTTCCAAAACACCAGCACTTTTTGATGTTCCAACTTGCACCAAACCTATGCGCTCTGGAAGCTTAAAGTTCCCTCCAAAGTCTCAAATACAGGAAACAAGATAAGAAGTTACGAGATAAGAGTTCATGATGTTAGGGTGATATCAATATGGGTGAAGGATTGCCAAACTAACAATACATAGACAGCCCAGATAAATGGATCATTTTTAGGTTGACTGTAACTAGTCAATGGAATAATGAAATTGTGATTTATATGATGTAACAACACCATCCACTGTCATGCACTAGACTCTGAGAAGAGAAAAGCAACAGTCTGTACCAGCTGGAGATGAATTATCTTACAATTATGAGTGCCAGTTAGCTTAGTCAGCTGGTTTGCAGTGCAGAGTAACACCAATAACATGGCTCAATTCCTGCCTCAGTTAAGGTTACCGTGAAGGGCTGTCACTTTCAACCTCCCACCTCACCTGAGGTGTGGTGACCCTCAGGTTAGAGAGAGACAACTGGTGGCAGTTTAATGAGAGAGTGGGACTATGGTGATTTTACCTTTTTACCTCACAATAAAGCATATATACTAATATCCAGAATAGACATCCAATTCATTTGAATCAACCTAAATTAAGAATAGACTTGTGAAGAAATTCATAGATCATGGAATAAAAGGGATAGTAACAACATGGATCGAAATTGGCTGAGTACAGGAAACAGAGTAATGGTTTATGGTACTTTTTGCTTTTTCTGATATATATGTGTGTGTCTATATATATATATAATATATGTATAATGATCCAGACCTTGGTGTGTAAGAACAATTCCAAAGTTTGCAGATGATACACAACTTGGAAGTATTAAAAACTGTGACGAGGACAGGTGGAACTTCTGAGGGACATTGGCAAGTGGGTGGATAAGTGGCAAATAAGGTCAATGGAGAGAAGTTTGATGTGGTACATTTTAGTTATGACAACATGGAGGGACAGCATACTATAGGAAGGATGTTATTAAGCTAGAAAGGGTACAGAAAAAAATTATGAGGCTGTTTCCAGGACTGGAGGGTTTGTGTTAAAAGGAGAGACTGGATAGGCTGGGACTTCTTTCCCGGGAGCATCGGAGACTGAGGGGAAACCTTGTGGAGGTTTACAATATCATAGGGGGCATAGATAAGGTGATTAGCCAAGATCTTTTTCCAAGGGTAAAGAAGTCCAAATCTAGAGGACATGGGGGCAAAGTTTTAAAAGGGACCTGAGGGGCAACTTTTTCACATAGAGGGTCATGCATGTTTGGAATGAGCTGCCAGAGGAAGTAGTAGAGGCGGATACAACTACAACATTTAGACATTTGGACAGGTACATGAATAGAAAAGGTTTAGAGGGATATGGGCCAAAGCCAGGCAAGTGGGACTAGTTCAGTTTAGGATAACCGGTCAGCATGGACAAGTAGGACAAAAGGATCTGTTTCTGTGCTGTATGGCCCTATGACTCAATGACTCTGTAACAGTAGTGTACAAGAGCAAGGAGGTGACATTAAACTTGTTTCAGACACTGACGAGATTTCAGCTGGAGTATTGTCTACAGTTCCCAGTGCCACATTATAGGAAAGATATGAACACATTGGAGATCTGCTGAAATGGCTTACAACAATGGTTCCAGGGATGATGAACTTCAGTTATAATAGATTGAAGAAATTGGTAGACTTCTCCTTTGAGAGAAGCAGGCTAAGAGATCTGATAAGAGGTTTTCAAAATCATGAGCAGGTTGGTTAAAATTGGTTAGAGAGAAACTGCTGTTGCTCAGATATGGTACAGATTTAACGTGATCTTCAAAAGAAGCAAGGATGCAATAAGGAAAAATCTTTTCAGTGAGTAGACAGGGTACGGAATGCATTGCCTGGAAGTGTGTTGCTCACAGGTTCAATTGAGGCATTCAAAGGGACATGGGATGATTATTTGGATATAAATAAGGAGCAAAGGTACGGCAAAAAGCAAGAGATAGCACTCGGTCGTAATGATCGTTTAACGAGCCTGGTGTAAGCACAATGGGCCGAATGGCCTCCTTCTATAGTAACACTTGATTCTGTGAATCTGCACCAATAACTGTAACAGCCCGCTGAAACAATATTCTATATTGGCTATCACAATATTAATGCTCCCAGTGCAGTAATGGGAAGGCAAAAAGCCATTTAATCTCTTCATACCAAAGGACAATTCCCACCTCCCAATAATCTTGAGGAGAATAGACTTTCATAAAAGGCAACCACGAGCATACTCCAAATTTGCTTCATTTGATTTTTTTTTAGAAGCTCCCTGGTTATGTACAATTATCTTAACTACAAAAACTAAATCATGTCCGCGACAGAATTTCACATCAGCTCGTCTCAAAACCGCGTTGCCTCGGGTTTTTGAGCAAATTACAATGGTGAGGGGCGGAGGTTGGTGGAGAGTGGCTGGGGGAAGTCAATTTCTTTATTCCCTTTCGAAGTGATCTGATTCTGATTAGTTCTGACAGCTTCCAGTCATGCCTTCTCAAAGATCTGGTTGGCTAATGTTGACGAAATCTAAACGCAGTCAATACAGTTTATTTTGTTTGAAAAGCAGAAAGCTGGGGGCCTCAGTTGAGGAGCCTTGACAGTTGAGGTGTATCATTAATTCAGGTTGACATATCGGTAAACTTATTTTGTATTGTATACTAATAGTGCACATTTGTGGCACACACATCTATTCCCACAAAGATTTATTTCACTAAAGTCAAGAACACTATTTTTCCGATGTAAAATTCTTCATCAAATATGAGGGGCTATGCACTGCTCTTGAAATCCGACACAAGTCCAGGTGAAAAATCTATAATGGCAATTCCAACTGCAGAAAATGGGGAAAATGGAATGTTCAACACCACGAAGTTTCACGCGTTTTAATAACGCATCTCGATTATTGATCGTCATTTGATGTACATCGCATCCAAACGAGGGAGGGAACACATCGGTACTCGTTAAAACCTTTGCATCCTCGCAATCTCCGATTATAGGTGAACCGCAGGATGCTTACATAACAGCACCATCTCGCCCCTCCAGTCCCTGGCACAGACTGGCTGCAGTGCCTCCGTGATTGACAGGCCGAGCTCGCCCAGCCAGGATCGAACGTGGCCCGGACGGAGTGACCAATAGGAGCAGCGGAGAGTGGGGAGCGCCGGCGGGGAGGTGGCGGGCAGGGGGGTGTTTGGGTTATGGGCGGAGCGCCCGATCCGCCTGTTATTGAGCCGCGGCTGCAGGGCGAGGGAAGCTGCTGAAAACTGGGAGAGCGGAGAACACCTTCACTTAGCATCCGGCTAGCGAGCGGAGCTGAGGGATAGTGGTCGATCTTTTTGCCTTCCCTCCCTCTCCCCTTCCCCTTCTGCCTCCTGTGATGGAGGAGATGGAAGAGGAGCTGAAATGCCCGGTGTGCGGGGCTTTTTACCGGGAGCCCATCATTTTGCCCTGCTCACATAACCTGTGCATGGCTTGCGCTCGCAACATCCTGGTGCAGACGCCTGAAGCCGAGTCTCCTCCAAGCCGCGCTTCAGGCTCCGACTACGACTACCTGGACCTGGATAAGATGAGCCTGTACAGCGAAGCGGACAGCGGCTATGGCTCCTACGCCGGCTTCGCGAGCGCCCCGACCACCCCGTGTCAGCGGTCCCCGAATGGGGTGAGGGTCTTCCCGCCGTCGCCGGCGGTGCTCCCCCGCAACTCGTGCATCACTTGCCCGCAGTGCCACCGCAGCCTGATCCTGGACGAGCGGGGGCTCCGTGGCTTCCCCAAGAACCGAGTGCTGGAAGGGATCATCGACCGCTACCAGCAGGGCCGAGCCGTGGCCCTCAAGTGCCAGCTCTGCGAGAAGGCGCCGAAGGAGGCCACGGTCATGTGCGAGCAGTGCGACGTCTTTTACTGCGAATCTTGCCGCTTGAGGTGCCATCCCCCCCGGGGCCCGCTCGTCAAGCATCGCCTTCTCCCTCCCGCCCAAGGCAGGATCTGCCGGAGGCTGAGCCCGCGCAAAATCTCCACCTGCACCGACCATGAGCTCGAGAATTACAGCATGTACTGTGTCAACTGCAAGACCCCAGTCTGTTACCAATGTCTGGAGGAAGGTAAACACTCCAGCCATGAAGTGAAGGCACTCGGAGCCATGTGGAAACTTCATAAGGTGAGCGCTCACATGGCAGTGACAGCCTCCCGATTGGGGTCATTGATATGCGAGAGCCCCATCAGTTTGGTGACTCCAAATTGATGATGGCGCCTCTATGCTGTTCCAGTCACATCTTCCAGTACAATGCGCAGTCAGTCACCAGTGATGTACAGCAATTCATTTGCAGACTGGCTCATCGATTCACTTGTAACACACATTTAGGATTGTGCGGTGTGTACACTGCAGTGAAGGTTTTATTGCCTTGGCGTTTCTGTCAAAGTTGGCGACGGGCACGTAAATACTGCATTTTCGTTAGGTTTGTCAGTTTTACGCAACAGTCAGGTTTCTGCCGGCTAACTGGGAAGAGTTTTGCTGATTGTTTCCCAAAAACGAATGCAGTTTTCGTTTTGAACCCCTTTCAGTAGCGCAAGTTGTACAGATTTCCTTGGCTTTTTCTTGTCATTAGCATTTCTTTTTAACGCATCTAGCTGTAACTTCCACCTGTTTGCGTCTTCTGGTGACAGCTTTTCGTCAGAACGTTTGATGTGCAATTTGAGTGCTGCAGTTGATTTTTCTGCGAGTGGCAGTAGATCTATGTTCAGAAAACGTAGTAAAATAATAGACAATACTTTATAAGTTGCATCAATTACATTTAAATTCAGGGTTTTTTTTTTAGTCTTTTTTTGATAGGAAACAATTTCAAAAGCACAAGTGGTTCAATAACCGGTGTGGTAGATGCTTGAGAGTGAGTTCAGATAAATGAAATCAGGCCTCTCGGATTATTTGAGCTAAACGGACAATTTTTAACATTGGAAGAGGTTTATATGTTTTTATATATATGTTTCTATACCTTTTTACACCACAATCTGGGGCCTTTTTGGATTACAAAAAAAAAGAAATTACTTAAATAGAGCTTCATATTCTGTTCAACTGACAGCAAAAATAAAGGCAGATAAATACGAAATAATGTTCAACTTTATCGTCCTTCTTGTCAAGCATGTCTCCGAGCTTTCTTAAGGTCTCCGGGGTTTCTGTAAAGTGTTTTGGTCTCCGGGCCGCAATGAGTCCCCGATCTGTGTCCAGTCGATGCCCCAGGAATCCCCGGCTGCATTGCTGCCGCCTCGCCGATATCGCTAGGGGTCCCGATCCGGGCCAACCATGCAGCCAAAGCTGAAGCCGCCGTCTTCGCCGGGAGTTCTGCTCCATCCTCCTCCGCGATGACACCTCCTCTGCTGACAAGAAGAATCATAGGATCCGTACAGTGTTGGAAGCAGGCCAATCGGCCCATCGAATCCACACCGACCCTCCAAAGAGCATCCCAGACCCAGACCCAGCCTGCTACCCTATCCCTGTAACCATCGCCAACCATGACCTTGCTCCCATGGCCAAACCGCCTAACCTGCACATCTTTAGACTGTGGGAGAAAACTGGAGCACCAGGAGGAAGCCCAGACAGATACGGGGAGAATGTGCAAAAAGAAGATGAAGAAAAAGAAAGAAGACGAAAAGGAAAGAGAAAGAAGGATGAGGCGCACCTGGAGCAAACGGGCTCAGGAGCCTAAATGCTACCTACTGTTAGATTGAAGGAAATATGTTACCTACCTACAATTCCACTATCAGATCATAACCTTTTACTTATTGTCAGACTTGAAATGTTTGATAAAACTGCTGTGTTCACTTTATTTAATGATGAATGGATCTTTTCTTGACAATTTAAAACAAAAGACAGTTCTGTTCACGACTTTTTCCATATGTTGTAGCCTTTTCTTTTGTCATTGAAATCACTTAGTGTCTCTATATGTAACTTAGCAGATGGTCTCATTTCTATTAGTTGCTGCTACCAACATATATTATAGCACAGCAAAGCAAGTGCAGCTCTGCTTTCCCAACCCCCTCTGCACCTCCTGACCTATATTGTTCACAGCCATCAGCTGTAAGCTAATGAGAAGAATCTAATTTTCTTTCATTCTTGCTGGCTTTGAAGAAGTTGGTTTCATTCCATCAGCCTCCCGTTGCTATTCATCTCACATAGTATAAGGGTGGAAGACAATGTCTTTTTATCCTAAATTAAATTTTTTAATACACTTAAATTATAATCAGATGCTAGGATAATTAATTAAATATTCATTTTTGTCTTTCTGTAGATAGTTTACAATTATTTTATTGATGCTTTGATTTTTCTATTGTTTTGTGGGATGTGAGCATTTCATACTTGCTCATTCCTAATTGCTCTGCAGTCCACCAATGCAGAGATTCCGCACTGCTGTTCAGAAAGAGGTTCCAGGATTTTGACTCAGTGACATTGAAGGAATTGGGATACAGTTCCAAGTCAGATTGATGTGTGACATGGGAACTTTCATATGTTTGTGTGTTTCAGTCCCTTGTCCTTCTAAAAGATAAGTTTGTAGGTTTGAAAGATGATGTCATTTGGTTAGTATGACTTTGTCAGGCTGTTGCTTGACTAGTATGTTTGACAGCTCACCCACGTTTAGATCAAGTCTCCAGGCCTTAGTAAGAAGGACTTTGCAGGGTTGACTGGGCACTGTGTGCCCTTGTACTTTCAGATGCTGGAAGGTATGTCTGTTTTTATTACACTTTTCACTTCTTGTAGTGGAGTAGTAGCTTTTATATTTTCCAATTAACATGTTCCGAACTGTTATTACACACCTTTGGCGCAGGTAGGACTTGAACCTGGGCCTTCTAGCTCAGACGTTGGGGCTCTACTACAGCATCATGAAATCACTGAGGCACAGTAGTACAACTGAGTGGCTTTTTAAGTCATTTGACAGGGTAAGTAAAAGCCAAACACATTATTTGTTTGGGTCTGGAGTCACATGTCAGCTTGACCACAAGGGCAGCTCATTTCCTTCCTTAAATGATGTTATTCGGTGGCTGTGTGGTCTTCATTAACCAAGGCTTCAGTTAGCTCAGTCGGCTGGGTTGCTGGTTTGAGATGCAGAGTAATGACAACAGCATTCCCATAATTCCCACACAGTTGAGGTTACCATGAAGGACTCAGCTTCTCAACTGCTCCCCTTGTATGAGGTACAGTGAGCCTCAAATTAAGCTACCACAAGTTGTCTGTTGCTAATGCAGGAGTAGACCAATTAAGGGCTTAGTTGGCTAGAACATAGAACAGTACAGCACAGTACAGGCCCTTTGGCCCACAATGTTGTGCTGACCTATTATCCTACTAAGATCAATCTACCCTGCATACCCTACATTTTACTATCCTCCATGTGCCTATCCAAGAGTCCTTAAAAGTCTCTAAAGTATCTGACTCCACTACCACTTCCATCAGAGCATTCTACACGCCCACCACTCTCTGTGTGAAGAACCTATCTCTGACATCTCCCTATACTTTCCTCATATCACCTCAAAATTATGCCCCCTCGTAATAGTCATTTCCGCCCTGGGAAAAAGTCTCTGACTATCCACCCTATCTATGCCTCTCATCATCTTGTAAACCTCTATCAAATCAGCTCTAAACCTTCTTTGCTCCAATGAAAAAAGCCCTCGCCCCCTCAACCTTTCCTCATAAGACCTGCCTTCCAGTCCAGGCAGCATCCTGGTAAATCTCCTCTGCACCCTCTCTAAAGCTTCCACATCTTTCCTGTAATAAGGTGACCAGAACTGAACACAATATTCCAAATGTGGTCGAACCAGAGTTTTATAGAGCTGCAGCATAACCTCACGGCTCTTAAACTCAATTCCCCGCCAATGAAAGCCAACACACCATACGCCATCTTTACAACCCTATCAACTTGGGTCGCAACTTTGACGGACCCCAGGATCCCTCTGTTCCTCCACACTGCCAAGAATCCTGCCATTAACCGCATTCCGCATTCAAATTTGACCTTCCAGTGGCTGGTTTGTGATGTAGAATGTTGCCAGCAGCATGGGTTCACTTCCTACTCTGCTGAGGTTACAGTGACGGACTGTCCTTCCTAACCTCTCCATTCTCCTGATTCTCAGGTTTAACTCACCATCTATCATTTCCCTCTAATGAGCCCTGGACCGGTAGGTCAATGGGCCAGCATTACTAAGAGAAGCTTTTAGTTTCAGATTTATTAATTCTATTTGAATTCCATTGGTGGGATTGAAACTAAGGCACCAGGGCATATGAGGCCTGTGGATTACTGGTTGAAACCAACTGTGTTTGTAAAAATAAACTGCAGACAGTTGCATACAATATTTTTTGCTGCTGTTGTGCCAATACCATCTTTAAGCGTGCATGTTTATATTTCATTTGTGCTTTGAACATTTTATTTGACTTCATAACTGATCTGTCAAATTATACTCTGGAAGGAAAACTATTATGCTGCTGTGCAAGATGGTAGCTGATGTAGTATTTCGGTTTTTACATCTCATGAATATTTTCAATAATATCTTTTGAGAGTTTCAGCTGTCATTATCTGAAACATTAACTGTTTGGTTATTGCACTGACTGAATAGAGACAAAAATGCTGCAGATGCTGGAATCCAAGGTAGACAAACAGGAGGCTGGAAGAACACAGCAGGCCAGGCAGCATCTGGAGGAAAGGCATAGTCAACGTTTCGGGTATTACCTGAATAGCCTGGGCATATGCATTGTCTTCCAAATTGTTTTCTTGCTGGTTTGCACTCCATAGAAATTAGTTTAGAATTAATTATTAGAGTGCAAACACCAAATTCCAGCAGTGGCATTGGAACAGAATTTCTTCTGACGTGAGGTCAGGGCAGTGGCCCATGATTGTAAATTGCTATATCATCTCACGACTGGTGTGTTTTGATTATATAAATAGGGCCCATGATGTTACAGATATGTTGGGCCAGTGTTGATTGATACTGTTAGAGAAACTAGCTGTTGTCTCCGTGCCATTAGTTAAGGTTTTAAGTGCAGAGTAAACATTTTACAGATTTCATTAGAAGGTATGATGCTGTCAGACAGAAACAGTGATGCAAAGGTCAAAGAGAACTCAGTTGCTAAGTGATTTGCAGAGTAATCAGCTCTCTGGATTACCCCTTGCTTCCTAACAATGGTCTTTCTTTACAAGTTAGCTGAAATTATCTCGTTTTCATGACCTTTGTTCTTGATTTGTATACTGTCTGGGCAGCTCAGCATTTTAGATCATGTGTCTCACAACTGAAGGTGTCATCTTTGTACAGCAAATGCTAAACACACTCCAAACACATGATCTTCGAAAACATTTTTTTTGTTTCTAATCAACCTGTTCAATGGTGTTATTACACACCTCTGGAACAGATGGGACTTGAATGCAGGTCTCTTGGTCCAGGGGTAGGGACGCACAACCTCCTACAACAGGGCCCCATTCTTTGGAAGCATTTAACCATCCAATTTAATCTTGTATAACACCATCTGGTGTAGGCTTAAAATTTGAGCTGATTCATAGGCATTCTACAGTTTCATCATGTTTCAGCACGTCCTAAGATTAAGTTGGTGCCTAGTGCAATTTCATTATAAACAGCTGAATCTTTGGGGCAGCAGCTTTGTTTTTTGTAACCATGCCTTTTCACATTGAAGGTGGGTCCTTCAATAAGCAGTTCTACTTATAGTGGCTTTTTAAAAAGTTTGCAGTTCTAAATCTGATCTGAAGTTTACCATCATGCATTTTTTTTAGTTCTGGGGGAGACCGTGGATCATGTCACTGGATCAACAATTCAAAGACTTTTGTTAAAGCTTTGGGGATGGGTTTAAATCCTACCATGAATGAATTTGAGTTCCATTAAATAATTTGGATTTAATGTTAGTCTTTAAAATGGTGACCACAAAATCCATTGCCAATTGTTGTAAAACGCATCTGTTTCGACCCTGATCCCCTTAAGGGAAGGAAATTTGCCATCCTTGCTGGGTCTGGTCTATATGTAACATCAGATCTAGCAAGCCAGTAAACTATCAAAATTGCTGGAGAATTGATAACAATTAAAAGGAATGGAACCAGATGACGATAGACCACCCAACATGGACTTTGGCACTGGGGATCTTCAATGGCTGTCACCTTGAGTGGCTCAATAGCGCCATTGCTGGCCAAATCCTATAGAACATAGCTGCTAGACTTGGTCTGTGGCAGGTGGCGAGAGAGAAAAATCCCACTTTACCTCATCATCACCGAGCTACTAGTTGCAGATACATCTGTTATAGAGTCATGTAGGATGGAAGTAGACACAACCTGCACATTCTCCACTCAGCCACACATCATCCTAATTTGGCACCAAATCACTGTACCTGGCAGCCACTGTATCAAATTCTTGGATCTCTCTTCCCTAATAGCACTGTGGGTGTTCTATGGAATGGTGCAGTGCAAGAAGACTGCTCATCACCACCTTTTTAAAGGCACGTTAAGATAGGCAATGAACACTGGAGTAGCCAGTGATGCTCACATCCCACAAATGAATTTAAATAAAAAAGGCATTTTGTCAAATATTATCAGGGACAGTAAATTATAAACTATTGGGGTAACCATTTAACCAAGGAGAAGGATCTGGTGAAATTTTGGTGGGCTGTAGGTTTTGAGTGTAAACTCAGGCAGGAAATTTAGAACGTTCCTTGAACTTAACAATAATAGGTTTGGGAGCACTGGACCATGTCGTAGAACCTAGGATAATTGTGGAGGCTGCTTTCTAGACCTAGCAGTTTTGAGTGTAGTTCTGGGATCAGGGAGCTAAGAATTTGAAGTCTAAGGATTTATAATCCCTGCTGAGATGATCTAGAACTAGGGATTTGGGATGTTGACTGGAATGAATTGCTAAAATTCAGTTTTACAAGAAATTAGAATTGGAAAGGACTAAGCTCAAAAGAATGGAACCTATTCAACCACTTAATTTCTTTTGAACAGTCATACCCCAACCTACTTTCCCTCACAGGATTAGCAACTTGCATTCTGCATTCCCATACCCATTTTTTCATGACCATTACTCTGCCTGTTACCCTCATTGCTGGTCCTTTCTTTTTAACCTCATGGATTTTCTTACTGGAATGACCATGAAAGTATCAACATTGGCGGTCATTACACTATGAAATTGACAGCACTTTTGGGCATCTGCACATGCAGAACTATATGCAAAAATCCATAAATTGGCTGTTTACCACAGGGTCACTTTGAAATGCACAAATGGAAGTCAATTGGAAATCCATGCAGGGATGCGATTTTTCACTTTTCCTTTAGTAGCCTTGTACAAATTAATTATTACTGCTGAAAAATCTCTGCCTTTAAAGTACTAATTTTGTTATTGTGGAATATCAAATTTCTCTACTCCATAATAATTGCATAGATTTTTAAAATATCTGCTTACAACATATCTACTCTCACATTTAATTCCATGTCGTTGTCCTGACCATTTATTTAACTTTTCTGTGAAGTCATACATGAATCATTATTTGTTAATTCCTGATTTGCTGTCTGAAACTCTTCATTGTGATTGGCTTCTTTTCTTGAATACATCATTGTTGCTTGATGCTGGAGATCTCCTCAAGCTGACGTATACATTAAATCAGTGCCAACAAATGTGAAATCTAGGTCACAAAACTTAACATGTCTTTGTGAGCAGCTTTATTCAGCACAGAGCCATGCCAG